CGATATTAGTTGGTGAACAACGTTGAAAGAAATGTCTACTTGAAGGTAACAATATCGAAGAATTCGTTCAAATTCAATACTGGTCAAAGTATCGTTTCAATCGGTCTAAACGAAGATGCACCAAAGCAGAAGTTGACTTTCAATCAACAAAACGAAGTGCGCGAGAATACCGTAATCAATCCGTTCCCACATCTTAATCCACGTTCATATCCCTACGCTGCACTGATCGTTTCGAGCAGGTTTCTGTTTGCTTCGTTAGCTTGAACTGCGTAAATAGATTGTTTTCACTGAAAAGTTTTCACTGAACAGGGCTTCAGAAATGGGATGAGCATCTACAGCAAAACGTCGAACAAACTCACAAATTGGATAATTCGTCAAGACATTACTAAATAACGCAACACCGTTTTGAATTTCAGTAACGTTGAAATCCGTCGTAACTGTTTCAAGAATCCGAGAGCGCAATTTGAGATTGCTACTGAGCTGAGTGAACACGCGAAATGGATTGATGCCCGCGAGAACAACTGGGGTCATCCATTTCCGGAGGATTTTATGCATCGAATTTTTGATCAGTTCAATCGATACTCACTTGCTTATATCGAGGTTGCTTCTTCTCAATTTCTTCAGTTTTGTTTTTTTCTCAATCAGTTTAAGTTGTGCTTTATTTCCCTTGTATGTTTCTTAAGTTTATGAGTAATCATGATTTATCGCCAATTTCATTTCTCGGTTTTGGCATCAAGCAATTGAATTTCATCGTATTTTTATTGAAGGTAAATCCTTTCGCTGCCGTGTGCAATCAACGAAGTCCTCACATCACAACCGTTCAACAATACTATCGATCATTCCGAAAAGAAAGTAAACCGTACATTCTTGGTGGAACCATTTGGGAGAATCAAGACCTGGGCACTGGTCGTTATGTGGTAACCGATGATTTGAACGTTGTGCCAGGCGCCAGGTTGACCGTCTCACCGGGTACTGTATTTGAATTCGACAATGGCATTGGAATGCTTGTACAGGTATGCTTATCAACTCTTTTGAACGGTGAATAAGTCTGAGTGATTTTGATTATAGCACAATGCCGTTAATATTAACGGTTCTTCTCCACGACGTTAGCCATTCACTTCTGATTCAAAATATTCAGTTGTTTTTCATCTGAGAATTTCAAACTTCCAATGAATGAATAGAAATGAACCTTTATCAGTGTTAAAATTTCATATTTTCTTATCGAATTTGCAGGGAGAATTAATTCGCGCCGATTTTCAACGTTCAAATGAATCGGTTCTCTTCACAAGTCGTCCTTTCCAGCTGCCTCAGCTGCCTCAAATTCGACTTGCTGATGAGAATGATAATCAAGAGGTAACGGCAATGGCACATCGAATCGCTTTGAATGATACTTGAAAATGTGTCCATAGAAAACTTGTTGTCACTTTCATGATTGATTATCGCGTTTCTGAATGATCTGAGGGACTTGTATTCAACCACTTCATTATTGTTCGCGTTTCAGGTGATAAGTGGACGTTTGGAGGTGAATGTGGACGGTCAATGGGGCACAATTTGTAACCGAAGTTGGACAGCCGATCTGGCACGTTTGGCGTGCAATCAATTGGGACTTATAATGGATGATGAATTCTTTGAAAATTGGCGAATATTTCCGTCAGCGGGCGATCTACCGATGGTCATGGACAATATACGATGTGAGGAACGAGAATACGACTTGACCAAATGTCGTCACGATGGAGTGACGCATGGCATTGCATGGTCGTGTCCTCCGTCTGATGTCGTCGGTTAGTTTCGATCAAATTCAGAATCCATTAACACAGAAAACGTTTAGGAGAGCACACGAACATATGTAGCGATATGATGATTCAAACGAAATTTGCAAACTAAGTTTGCAACAAAGAGATATTGTTATTCAGAACTTTGCTTGCACTATTTCGAAGAGTCATGCTTATGAACGCTTACGGTTTCCTGTCGTCCTGAAACGGAGATGCTGATTTCGTGATATAGACTCAATATTTCGAAGATAGTTTCGAACAGTTAAATTCCAAAATTGGATTGAGTGTGCAGTGTTGTATCGCCGCTCAATTGAAGAACAAAATTCAGGAATTCGATGTGCAGAACCACGATGGGCTGGTGTTCGTTATTCACTTCTCGCCAATCCACCAGCAATTACCGGTCAAACTTCAATGGGTCATTGGATTATTGAAAAAGCCGGTCTGTTCGATTTTCGAAGCAGTGAATTCAGTGCAGCACTGCAGATCGATTGGAACTATCATAGTTTTCAATATTTGACGATACGTGATAACTATTGGAATGGCATTGATGTTGTCTACAACGACTTGACCAAAAAGCCAGCGATCAGGAACAGTCGTTTCGAGGCGAATCGACGGCACGGTTTCAGAATGCGTTCACCTGGAATGACCATCGAAGAAGTATGTCACCTGACCATATACAAATTGTCTTTTCTGGATGTTCCTGCTGATGAAATAGATTAAGTGTTGAGAAACTCATAAGTACGTAAAAAAGAATGCGAGCATAAGCTGTAAGCTGCTCGTACACACAAGCATGAGCATGCAGTTCTAACCAAACTCGTGAAAAGTGTTAGCAGCTTAAAAATTCTGCTGACCTCGTAAACAGTGAGTGAGCGCTACCATTTTTCAACTATCCCTCATCACCGTATAGAATTTTATCTTTCAACTGATCGAACGATTTGGATTTAATTTAATTGATTGATACCCTCACGAAATCGCTTGTCTTACTCCAACGAAATTTTTCGTCTCTTCAAGATGAACTAATTCATACATTTGTGATTTTCTCCGTCTGTTTGCTGCTAAACTGAAAATTATCGGTGATCCTCTCTCGAAAACTTCCTATTATCATTTCAGGTTATTGTGAGCGGAAGTGGAAATGCCGGATTCCGCTATGATCCGCGTGTTTCGGTTCCACTGCAACGTGATATTGTCACCTGGCTGGTGAGACGTGATCAGCAAGAAATGGAAGCGAATAATGTCTATGTGATTCCGAATCGAAGCATCACCGAGCTGGTTGTCCATGAATCGCAGCTCAGTCAACGCAAATTCCTTCTGGCACGCCCAACCACTGACTGTCCACTTGGTTGGTGCTGATGACGTTCAAATGAGAAAGCGAAATTTATTCGTATTAACCGAATTAGTAGAATTCATCTTTTTTTTCAGAATTTTTTCTCGAAACATTTCAAACGAAAATAACGAAAATTGTTTCGTCTCGTCAGCGTGAACGTCGAATATTTCTTCATGAATACTACTATTATTTCTTCACTCGTGAATCTCATCGTGAAAATGAAGTGAATGAAACTGAATAATGCACTGAATGTTCCTATATTTCACTTGTGCGTTGTGCTTGTCGCTCAAAAGGACTTATATAGTTGATCATGAATCTATGATTTCAAAAAAAAAAAAATGCTAATGATGTTTGGGTTACAATGGTGATTGCATATGCTTTTTCAGTGTTTAGCATGCAATTTCATATTACACCTTAGCTGACTGATACTGTATTCCACGAGTAGAACCTTTCGATAATTTCTGTTGATCATTGTAGCATTGCTTGATCCGTGCGTCTATGATTTAACATTGAAAGCAAGTGGATTCGAGTATGGTTTGAGTGCCAAAATTGCTGTACAGGTATTTATTTTTCACTTGCTCATTCATGTCAGTTTGAAGCATGCTTTTATTTATACATTTCGTTTATTTCACTCAGGAAAGCCAGCAAGCATTCGTAACACCATATACTGATTGCTTTTGTAGTTTCAGAATTGCCCAATCCTCATGAATAACTTCCCTTCGAAATATTCGTCTTCTTGACAAGGTTTGTTTGATCTTTGAAAAAAGCTTCAACTTTTCAGATTGTGAATAGAGTTGGTGAGGGAAGTGATGAAGATATACTGATCACAGACGCTGATGCGAACAAACAGTGGAGTGTCCGCAAGGATGCAATTCAATTTCCAATTGTTTCCTCATCGAGCACTCTTCAAATGCAGTACACACGGACACGTGGTAATCCAGAAGTGGTTCTGCTTGTACTCTTCTTGGACGGTGATTATTTTCACTTCTCTTTTTAATTTTCGTCAACCTCATCATAATGAGGAGAAAATTACGAAAAATCAGTATACTTCCGAACATTCTCTAATCCGTTCCACTGTTAAAGAAATTCTTTTTAAGAATTTCTGTTTTGTACACAGACTGGGCTATTATTCAGATTACTGTTGCATTTGAAAGCCGATTATTGTTGTTATAGCGCAAGAATATTTGGATCGTTTCGTGCACGTCTATCGCTCTGTTGTCAGCGGCAATCAATACGGTCTATCGTCCGTTCACTATTCCGATTTCAACTTCGATGATGGAACATTTTTGAATCGTTGGTCAGAGGAGAAGCTCTGGTTCCAGAAAGTCAATTTCACTTATAACACTGAAGCAGTCGTATGGGTGCATTCACCGCAGCATATCGTCTCGGATGGCACTCCTATCGCTCAGGTTTCATCCTCGATTGCAATCACACAAAATCTTAGAATCTGTCCGACAAAGCGATTCATTCAACCTCCAATATCTTCATTCAGTTTTTCAGTTGCTTGAACATTCTCAATTGATCTAATGACTGGATTTCTTCATGACAATGAACGCTTGCTTGTATTCCAGATAGGTTACCACATGGATAACTGC